CAACAATGTAAATGAATGTACTTAATGCCACTGAACTGTACACTTAAAGATGGTCAAAATGGTAAATTTCATGTTATGTATATTTTAGCCCAATTTAAAAAACACATGAAATAAATAAAAATGAAAAGGTGCTTTAAAATAGGACATTCTCAATTATCTGAAAACTCTGGCCATCTAGACAGTCATTCCTTAAGCCTGGCCAGCGGACAGCGGTAGCCTGTGGGGGGCTCAGGGCTGGCAAGGAGACCATGGCCGCCGCCCCAGGGCGCCCAGTCCCCCGTTCCTCAGTGCCTCCAGGGCCCAGGCTGGTGTTCTCCACCTCCTCCCTGAGACCACAGGGCGCCCCACAAGCTGTTGCAGAGTGGAGACAGAGCCCCTAGCAAACTCCATCGCTCATCTACGAGTTAGGATTCCACCTGTGGAGTTTACCTGGGATCAAAGGTCTTTCTGCTGAATTATTTGGAACAGTTTGCCCTAGGTTTTACTGTAATTACAGTAATGTCAGTGTGTATCTCGAGCTCTTACACACACTGAGTGCTGTCAACGTTCAAAGTGACAGATGGGGGTACAGCTGGGATGTGAGGTGGCAGTGTTCCTTGATGCCTGCGTAAGAACCCAGCCCCAGAACAGTGTGGTATCCGGACAGCACATAGCCCTCTTGGAGCTGTATGTCCTCCCAACAGGCGCTAAGGGGGTCAGCTGATACAGACCATAAACTCTGAGTGACACCAGGGCGGAGGAGGAAGCGAGGGAGGGGGGAGAAGGCGGAGGAGGAGGGGGAGGAGGAGGAGGAAAGGAGGAAAGGAGGAAGAGCAGGTGGAGGAGGAGGAGGAGGAGGTAGATGATGATGAGGAGGAGGGGACGAGATGGTGGTGGTGATGATGATGGTGACGATAATGAAGACAACAGGGCTTGTTTTAACCCTGGTCCTACCCACAGTGCTAGTTTTCAATGAGTGATTGGCATGACCACCATGAGCTCCGTTTTGCACTTAAAAACCTTGCTTGCCTCCCACCACCACCGGCAAATTTCACCTTGGGGGGTGGGGGGCTGTGTGTGTGTGTGTGTGTGTGTGTGTGCGCGTGCGCACGCGCACGCGTGTGCACATGTGTGTGTGCGCGCGCACGCGTGTTACCTTGCCTGGCAAGTTGGGCTGCACTTTGTCATTCTGTTAGTCTGTCTTAGTCCCATTCTGTGACACAGCCCTCAATGTCCTGGTCCCATCCTGCAATCTGACACTCTCTACGTACCCGTGAGGGTGCCAACAGCTCACAGCAGCAACTCAGGGGCAATGGGGCAGAAGAGGAGCCTGGGCAGGGGGCTGAGGCCGGCTTGCGCCTTTCCATCTTCTCTCTTACCTGTGCAGGCGCTGGCCAGGCCGCTCTCCATCCCGGAGGCCCCACGGCATCAGCACGGCGCTCCCCGCCTGCCGTCTGTGGGTGAGATGGGGGCAAGGGAAAGAGAGTTGGTCTG